AGGAGTGGAGAGATCTCTCTGAAGCCGTTCCTTGCTTTGGACTTAATCCTGTTTCTAAGTCATTACATATCCTATCCTACTATATACGTAAGTAATGTGATAAACAAAGAAAGGATATTAATTGTGACTAATAGTACATTGGGCCAGTCTATGATAACAATAGTAAAATGAGAAAAATATATGTTTAAATCTTAGGGTACAAGACATGGTTTTGATTCCACTAGGAGAAATCTTCAGTTGATACAATGTCGTAGTGATCTTCATAGTTTCTCTAACCATCTCCTAAGCCGTCAATGGCTCTCAGAGGCCTATCATACGGACTTGTATTATTTTTTCCTACCATTATAAAACTTCACAAAAGCCTACACCCTCATTTATCCACCAGGTCCTGCCAGGAAAACAAGATTCCTAACATGAAAAGGCAGCAATAATAACAATATGAAAAAGTCCACATCCTCTCTGAAGTCATAAATAATAAAGAAGCCATCACCCTTCTATTATACCTGTCAATAACATGAAGCATAAGCCGTGGGGATAGGAGGTCTTGACACTGCACTTAACCAACAGAGTCCTGCTCTCCCGCCTCTATTATCCCAGGCTCCGCCCCCTCCCAGCAGAGTGTGGGGTCAAAGGGCGAGTGTTGTGAAAGCACAGGCTCTAACCGCTAACGGCTGACCATCAGATGGTCTACCTTTCCACCTCACACACACACACACGCAGGCTCGCAGACACAGACACACACACATGCAAGCAGGACGCACGCATGCAAGCACACACGCACGCACACACATACACGGGAGAAACTCAATAACAGCAGCTCAGAGAGTCCATCCCATTAGACACCCCCCACCCCCAACCGCAGCGTCTTTAATGAACCCCCATCACCCCACCTCCACGCCAGCCTCGCGACACACACACACTCCGATGTTGGAGACTCAGCATGTTTTCAGTGCGGTGCGGACACGCTCTCAATCATCATTAGGGGTTTTGCAGAGTCCTGGGGTCTGGGCACCTTGCCAGGATGTGTAAAAGTTTCCATGAGAAAAGCTTGAGTTACCGTTGGAGGGGAACGGTGGCGGACGGGGATCCTCAGAAATGTTAGAATGCTGTATTGTTGTTGGGGAATGGATAGAAGGAGAGAAAAAGAGAGGGTGGAAAGACGAGGTCTGTCTAGAAACCTGTTGCCACTCACGTCTGACTCTCTGCCTCATGCAACACAGGGTCTGTTTTCTCTGCTCTCTGCCTCATGCAACACCGGGTCTGTTTTCAGTTCCGAAAAACAACTTCAATTTCATTTCAATTGTAGAAAACTTGAGTTGAGGAGGAAACAACTACTGGCAAGCTGACCCTGAAATATAAGGTAATCAGAATACACATCTCAAGTGTCAGAAATCAGCAGTGTACATTTGGTTGTGTTTTTCTCATGTGGGTGAATAAGGCCCCTCTGTATTCAGCTGTAACCAGATGGTAAGAGTCTGGCTAGCGTTAGCCCTGTGCTAATTCAGCTGCGCTTCATGATATCACCCATCACACCAGAAGCTAATGAGAGAAGACACTATACACGTATACTTCGACTGCATTACACACATGCGTACATGTACACACACACACACACACACACACACACACACACACACACACACACACACACACACACACACACACACACACACACACACACACACACACACACACACACACACACACAGGCACAAAGAGGCCTTCATAAGCACCCTGGATCGAGGACTTGAGGGTGCGTAATGTGTCCCAAAGCTTTCAAATCTGCTGTGTAAACAGCAGCCAAGTCTAGGATCAAAGCGGATATGTGTGTGCGTGTGACGGGAGGGGGTGTGATGTCACCGCAACTGTAGCTCGGCTAGGACGTGTGACAAAACATGGCGTCATCACAGCCCCTGTTTTATGGGTTAATTAGCCAGGCTAACAAGGCAAGTGTAAATATACTGTCCTCCTCAGTCTTCATACCTTCTATTGTTTTTATTGATGTCGTTTGCATGACATTGTACTCAATGCCATATGTATTGTAAATCGCCCCGGATTAAAGAGAGCGAGGGGTATGTCTTTTTTTTACTTCTAGAAACGTCTGTTTAATGTAAACCTCACATTAAATATGTATATATTGCGTTTGGCGTATGACAATGGGCCAGAAACAATACAACGACCTCTTGAAAATTAACTTTAACATACATCTTGCTTCCATTCCCCCTAAGCATCAATCCATGGACCTTGGTCCAGGTTTATTCGCTCACTCAACTCTCCTGGCTATCGTGAGACAGACAGACCCCTGCTGCAGCGAACCAATGGCGGCCGCAGGCCAGCAGTCCTAAATACATCCCCAGCACAAGCCAACTGATCATTCATCAATTTAAATACAATCGCAGCTCCTGGACATTACCCAAAAAGCTTTGGGGCACCCTTTTACAGACAGACGGTGCGTAATGTCCTGCAGTTAGCTAGCCTCGAGGCTCCAATGCTCCATCACAGAAGTAGTGGATGGAGTGGTGCTAGCTGGGAGGGGGTAGGGGGTTATGGGGTTGAAGGGCAGTTAGAGGGGCTTATGTTCAACTTGTCATCCCCTCCCCCTCTAGATCTCTTACATATCTACCCCACACTGACAACAGAGCTCCTTACGGTACAGTAGCTCAGCCTGTTGATAGGTTGAGTGATTTCTCGGGGGCTGGGTTAGCCGTGCGAGCCGAAGGCCAGTGAGAGACGTTTCCTCTGGCTGATGAGAGCCTGAGGCCTGAGTGTGGGAGGCGCTCCACTCTGGGGAAGCTCAAGTGTTGTCCCGTTGCAGAGCTCAAATCACTGGCTCCAAACAGGCCAGGGTGGGACACTATGCTATGTGGCTAGCGCTAAATCACCACCCGCCCGCCCAACCGCTTGGTGAGGTCATCCCCTACTGTCGCCCCTCTAATGGAGCAACTCGCTAACATATGATAATAACTGACGGTAATGACTGTGGAAAGGGAGCTCGCCACTCGCCGACTTCTCCCAAGTCTAATTTATTTTTATCTCAGGCTCATTTGAGGGGGCCGGAATGGTCCGGAATGGGGCCGGTGGGCCTAAGCGGTACAGGGTGCAGATGCCTTTGGAGTATGCTGTTACCACCGCACACTTACTGGGACTCCAGGAGCGCAGTTAGCCCACCACAGATGCTTATTCAAGACATTAGATGAGGCGAGATTGCAGCGCGCCAAGGTTTTACCAGGGCCGCCTTGGTAGGCCTCTGCCAATCAATACGCATTCCTGGGTATCTCTAATGCATCTGTAATCACAGGCCCAATAACATTTGTCCACTGGGTCCAGAGAGATGGGCACCGCTAAAGTGACAGTGGATGGGGTGGTGGTGACGGTGGTGGAGCATGAAGACAAGGTTACTTTTTAAGGGTTATAATTTTAGCAGTGGGGCAAATTTTGAATATTTCCATACTGTACAAATTACGGCGTAAAATGACCCCCTAACAACCTTTTACCTAGCGCAAAATAAAGCTTGAGTTTCACTCTTATTCGATTAATTATCATACTCTGGCTCCTTTGCCTGCCATAACTACTGAGAAGTTTGAGAAGGAATTGGACATGTACATGACAATGCTAATCGTATTTCCTTTGGATTTAGCGCCAGTGTTCTCTTGTTTCAATGTACTGTAAGGGGAAATATGTCAGGAGCTGGAGCAGAGTCAGAAGATAGATGCTAGTTCTGGATGTGTGAAGTGACAAAGACTTATAGAATGTCTTATTTGAGTGTTGTCCATGCTCATTTTATGGAGTTGAAAACAGACAGACGTCCACACTTCTCTCTATTGTCTGTTTACGAGGTGAGGACTAACAGGACGGACAGATTTGCTGACAACCACATTTCAATTACAGCTCCGCTACTAAACCCCTCGGCCCCCAATGCCCATCACCCCTGTACTCCCTTGTTGGCTCTGGAGCACGCATGCACACACACAGTGTATGTTGTTTACAGTAGGAGTGAAACAAAAGGTGCACAGGAAGAGTGATGTTCCTGAGTTTAGTGGGGACTCGCCTTGTTCCTCCTGTTTGGATGCAGGGGGACTTTATCTCTTCTGGCATACCGCCACGGATGCTGGGTACCGCACAATCAGAGCATAACAACTATGTGATGAGCAACCCCAACAGGGCCATAACAGGCTGGGAGGGACCAGAGGGAGGGACGATTATGAGGGGGGGGGGGGGGGGGGGGGACACACATGAAGTATTACACAGGGGGTCAACACACAAATACTGCGTTCCCCCATTCCCCTGGCTGTGCCTGGACTCACATCCAGAGGGGCTCTGGTGACCCCCCAGCCTCCACAGCCTCCCTCGATGACGTCAGCTCCAACACTACACACTCCGCAGGGAAAACACGGGAAAACAAAGCGCCTCCTGCCTCCTGACTTCCCTCGCAGCGAGGGAGGGAAAAGCGTTGCAGCTCAGGAAACCCCTACCCATTGTTTTGCTTCCTTCATTAGTCGTTGTGTCAACAGTCGGGTCCGGCACGCGTGCGCCACTGTTTTTGTTCTCTTACTCCCTGCCTGACCTCACCGCTTCTGATGTTTTGACAGATTGTTTCGAAATCCCATCAAGGACCAATTGACTGTTAAAATAAAGTTGCTACTAACTCGGACAACATACACGGTAGTTGCGAAAACAAAATGAATCTGGAATGCCTAAAATTAACAAATCTGACGTAAACCCATGGTTGATAGCGCTGAAATTCACCAGGAAAGAGGGAGATGCGGGGAAAGGGTGTGGGTGGGTGTGGGTGTGTAGATAAGCAAAGGTGTAAAGTTCATGTAATGTGCACTGTAAATGGAACATTCTAGAGAGAAACGAGAATCAAATGATTTTTATGACCCTGTGTTTTCATAAGGAAAAACAACACCAATGTGATAAGGATGATGACGATGATGATGTGATGTCACTAGCTTTGATTGACAGGTCTAGGTAGATACACCTTGTTCTTGTGACTCACCATCGTCCAGGTACATCTGGTCCAGATCCTGGGGTTCCCGCTTGACGGTGACGGCTAGGGAGGGGGGGCTGGCGTCCTCCGGCAGCAGGCTGGGAGGGCTGCTCCTGGCCTGGGTCTGGCTCTGTCCCTGGGTGGGGCTGTAAGGTGGTGCCTGGGCGAACGGGCTCTCTGCTGCCCCCCCTGGAGTGGAGGGGTGGGACCCAGGGGAGGAAGAGGGGCTGCTGTTGGGGTAGAGTGTGTGGTAGCCATGGGGACCGGGGCTACCAAGGTGATGTGGGCTGCTGCCCTGGGAGTGGAGCATTCCCAGTGGAGCATGGTCGGGCGAGGAAGGGTGAATCAGCGACACTACGCGCTGCCCTGGCGTCTCCTGGATGGTGAACGCCAAGGGGCCAGTGTGGGCGTGCGTAGGGCTGGTGGAGAGGCACTTGGGGTAAGCCACGGGGGACAGGTCGTGCAGTGTTGGGCTGGAACTGGGGGAGGAGGCGGGCATGCTGCCAATGCTGCCATGGCAAGGCGGGCAGGAAGGATAACCCCCGACCAGGCAGGTGTCAGCGTCCCCCACAGGTATGATTGGAGTGAGCCTGGGTTGGCCATAGTAAGGCTTGGAATGAACAGACAGCCCCTGAGCCCCCAGAGGCTCATATTCATCATTCGGTTCTGTCTTTATTATCGGGACTGGAAAAAGAGAGAGAGAGAGAGGGAGGGAGGGAGAGAGAGAGAGAGAAAAAAAAAGAGAAGAGAGATTAGAAATGTGAGGTAGGTCCACGTGGCTGAATGAGTGACTGAGAGTATGAGTAAAGGAGTTGGTGTAGTGAGATGGATTGTGGGTAGGATACCCTCCAAAACCAAACAAACAACCGACGATTAAAAGAGACTCTGTGTCATTGGCTGGGCCACTCAAACGCCAGCTCAGAACCACCCCCCCCCCCACCCCAAAAAAGAAATAAAAAAAAGATGAGTCATCAGAGCAGAAAACCACAGCTGGCTCTAATCATGAAACGGCGCAATTTTCTTTGGACTCCTTCAGCTCTGATATTCTATAAAAGAGTGCTTTAAAGTGGCTGGGCTGCTGCTGCAGGAGCCTGGGACCCCTAGGCCTCCATGCTCCAAAAGCAATTGTTGCTCTCAGGACAGAAAGAGAGAGGATGATTTGATTGGGGTGGTCCGTGCTCCTTAAGAGAGTATGGTATGCCTGCGGTTTCAGGAGCTCTGACTTCAGCTAATGCAGGAGGAGAGTGCTATGACCCCACTTGCTCATGCCGCTGTCTTCCAAATCACTCAGAGTCCATTTGGGAGATGTTTCCGCCATTTCCTGATTAGTTTGGACTGACAATCATCGTACAGTAGGTTTCCTGGATCAGTTTTCATCTTTCGGAGACTGACCATAACGTATGCACTATTTATTGAATATTTAAACATATCCCCCAGTTACACACACATGCACGCTCGCACACACACTCACATACACACACACACACACACGCGCGCGCACACACACACACACACACACAAAGACCCAAACCTTAAGGAGAAGACGAAAAGGCCAGGTTGCCCTAAGAAAACTCTTTATAAACCCCCCCCCCCCCATGCTCCGATTCTGCCACGAGTACTCTGACACAACTAGGCTTGAATTAAGACACCCAGATGAATAACTAAAAGCTTCTGAGTCACAATACATGCACTGTCTGTTGCTATTTCTGCACACAGTTAAATGTGTTAATGGGTGTGGTTAGTGTTTGATGCCAATCATAAGTGTTTTGGTCTGAATCACTCTAAATATCTTCTGACACTCTATTCAGCCCAACAAATAGGCCATCATAAGTGTATTTCTAATAATAGTTACTTTTTACTATATAACAAAGTAAAAATAAGTAAATCCTGATCAAATCAAATCAAATCTTATTTGTCACATGCGCCGAATACAACAGGTGTAGACCTTACCGTGAAATGGTTACTTACAAGCCCTTAACCAACAATGCAGTTCAAGAAATAGAGTTAAGAAAATATTTACTAAATAAACTAAAGTAAAAAATTAAAATGTGTACATGTAGGTAGGGGTAAAGTGACTATGCATAGATAATAAACAGTGAGTAGCAGCAGTGTAAAAACAAAGGCGTGATGAAGGCGTCACGCCGAAACATGTTGGTGTTAATAATACTAATAAGCATTTCTTAAATGTACTTCCATTGTCTGAATAAATGAGTGTTTTTATCAGATGAAAAACAGCCCTATCATGATGTTATGATGTTATTATTGTTGGGCCAGGATTTAGCTGAGAGATTAACTTTCACACCCCCAGTCTCCTTTGGGGTGAGATGAGCTGGTGTGATTACCCAGTGGGAAGCCCGTTCCCATCTGTCCCAGAGGTAAGGTATGTATCCTTAGGAAAGTCCCAGGATGACGCCTCCATACACTTACTAGGGAATATCATACTAGGCCTTGTAACAGGCTCTCCATAGCCCAGACCTGGGTTCATGATAGGTCTAGTATTTGTTTTCTGTTTTCTATACTTTAGCTGCATTTGATTGAGCTTGACTATTGCAGTGGAATCAATGGAATAGTCCCAAAAGTGTAAACTCTACATAGATAGTAATCTGATTTCTTCTGTAAATCAAGCACAGCTTCACAGTCTCCCACCTTCCCTGAGACTTGCACGCTCTGTCACACATTCCCCCTCCTTTCATATATCCAGAATGAGAGACAGAGGGATCCTTTGAGCTCTCCTCTATTCAGCTCTATATTTCTCCCCCACTCTAACCAATCATTCCTCAATCTGTCTCCCCCCCCGTCTCTCTGACCACTCCTTCCATCTTTTATATTTTAGTAATTTAGCAGACACTCTTATCCAGAGCGACTTACAGGAACAATTAGGGTTAAGTGCCTTGCTCAAGGGCACATCAACATTTTTCACCTAGTTGGCTCTGGGATTCGAACCAGCGACCTTTCAGTTACTGGCCCAAACGCCCTTAACCACTAGACTACCTGCCGACGACTATCTGTGTGCGTGTCCCCCAAACACACACACTCCCCCCAACCAGTTCCATGAAAGCAGATTCACCCTGTGAGTCCCATCCCCAGCTGGCTTCTATTTCCTCCCAACCTGCGGGTTATGGCCCACAGACAGTTTACGCTCTGCACATGTTTTTCTCCCCATCTCTGGCTATCTGTGTCTGTCTGCTCGCATTAAAGTGATCAGGCCTGATCAGAGTATTTATTAGGAACTGGTTTCCTTCCAGGGATGGGGGTGAGGGTTCGAGGACGGATTTGTGGGGTGTTGAGCACAGAGGGTCTAGGCCCGGCAGGTTGTCGTGTGAAGGGAAGAGACAGCCGGGCAAGAGGGTTTTCTGGGATGCACTCTGATTCTCATTACGATTGGCTGCTCTGCTCTCAGAGTGAAACTATGGCGTGGAAATGCTCTACTGTCTCCATAAAATAGCTGGTTTGATTGCACTGTGGAAAGAGTGTGCACAATGCATTATACCTAGGGTCCTGAGTTTTTCCTGAACATGTGACCTGACTAGGAAAAACTCCAGGCTCTAGTTATAGCAGACCACCAGTTTTTCCCGGTCAGTTCATGTGGTTAGGAAAAACTCAGGGCCCTAAGTATGCTAGCTGCATCTCTGATATTCAGAATGGAGCAGGTGGTGCTTCATGGTGGTAGTCATCAACTCACAGGTGTCTAATTCACTACGTCCCACTGTGGTCGCAATCTGGCTGACGGCTGGTGTCCTAGTTTACGTAGGCCATGTACATGTGTGTGTGAGTGTGTCTGTGTGTGTGTGTGTGTCTGTCACTATCCTAACCTGGAAACACTGAAACGTCTCAGTCTCCAGTTTGGTTACCATGACACATCTTTGGGGAGAAGTTCACAGCGTGCGGTTCGTTAAGTTTTCATGTACGTGTCTCTCTTGTTTCTTCTGAACATACCCCTCTCTCTCCTCCCTCCCATGTCTCAGACCACAAACCTATGGGCAGGAATCAGCAGCAGCACCCGTTGCTGTTAATAATACAACCCGATCTAGAGGAGGAACCTCCAAACGGCTTGTGAAAATAAAGGCATTCCGAGAACTGACTTCGGTTGGGCTTTTGTCAGCGCCAGCACTTTTGACGTTTGTTGTTTTATGTGGTTTGGTGAAACTGTTTCTTATTAAAGGAGAAGAAAAGGACGGCATGTTAAGTCTTTACTTATGCAAGAATGATTGGAAATGAGCTCGGAAAAGAAAAGCAACGCTCACACACACACACACTAGGAGGTAAACAAGGACACTTGTGCTGTACGTTCATCGCAACATCGGATATGTGGTGATTTATACAAACCACAACTGCTGCCAACAGCACATTTTAGAGTCTAAAAAAATGAATAACTTCAGAGTGACATATTGCTTAAATTCTTGGATCTTTCTCCTCTCAAATTGTAACTCATGACAATGCACTTTCCAGACAAACTTATTAAGCTTTAGTCATCAAATTCATTGGACTAACATGAAATTGTAAAGGAAAGTGAGGACAATGAAGAGCATTTTGAGAAACACAAAGACAATTTAAAAAATGTCATAAGACAATCTACATTCTATTGTTTTGGCATCAATATGCAACGGCATTATTACCATGCTAATTGCCCATTTGAAAAATCCCCTGTATGAAATCCTGAAGAATATTCCCGATAACATCTGGAATAAGCAACGGTTCAAATCCGCTACTCCTTTCTTGCTTGTGTAGGACATAACAGGCCTACGACAGCCTTGCCATTCAAGCTTATCTTCAACAGTCAAACCTGGCAAAGACTCAATCGTTTCCAATCCTCCAGACTGCATCTGATAATAATATCAGTACTAGCTCTGAGGCGTGACTAAACTAAAGGGGGGATAAGAATGAGATGATGTTTACACGACAGAAACAATGCCTCCCCCATGAGATATGACTGTCCTATTTAGAAGATGGAGAGGAAATGATTCAAATACATATTATCTCGTTTCCTTCCTTGGGCATTTAGCTACACTGAACAGGCTTGAGGTGCTACAGTGAAAGCTTTGGGTTGTCAACATGTTCAATAGACCTTTTCACACACTTGTCTGATTATGTTTGACATGAATGAGTAGAGAAAACATCACCTGACTACAGTGGAAAATACAAGTTGTTTTCAATAGTGATTGGTGGACCGCAGATTGTTTGTTTCGTACTTCTGTTTTTTCAAACAAGCGGGGCTTTTTTAAGTGGTGGTTTTGCTTTTTTATAGACGAGCACAGAGGCGAGCAGACACCCGAGCGTGAACGAGAGTTATTTTTAGAAAGCATAATTGACGACCACAACTGTGCTTAAAGTGGGCCAGAGGGCCGGAAGCCCCGCTCAGATAGGCGAAGGAGGAAGTGATGAGAGCGACCTCTATGTAACACACACCACCACCCCTACCTGGCCACAGTGCTGAGTTGGCTCTCTATGTATGTGTTCAAACACTCTCACACAGTGAAACCCTCAAAAGCAAACAACCAGGTTTTCCTCTCCTTTGCTATTTATATATCACTGTTATAATTATCCTCATTGTGACTTAGAGATCAGTTTGCTTTGATGACAACCTGTATCTTATCTTGGACAGATATAATTAGGGCTTCTCTTTTACCTTAGCCCAGTTGAAACAGTTCTGTTTGCTAAAGTCATATACAGTAGAGGCCACTTCACCCAGACACGTGTCCATGGCCAGACAGACATGCAGAGGAACTAGATGAGAGGTAAGCTCAGGGACTTCCAGGGACTACGGATGGAAATGAGCTCTGTAGCAAAATGTGGCACTATTGCTACTCAGTATTGTCTGAGTTGTTTATTATTGCTTGTTGACTATTGTGTTGAATAAATTATATTTAAGCAATAAGGCCAGAGGAGGTGTGGTATTTGGCTAATATACCACGGCTAAGGGCTGTTCTATTGGCCATATATGTCACGGTTTCGGCCGAGGCTGCCTCTCTTCCTTGCTCGGGCAGGCTTCGGCGTTCGTCGTCTCCGGAATACTAGCTGCCACCGTTGCATGTTTCTATGTTCGTTTGCTTTTGTCTGATTGTTGTTACACCTGTTATCGTTTAGTGTAATTAGTGTCCTATAAGTTCTCGTTGTGTTTGTCTAGTGTTGTGTGTGATTGTTTTTCACTGTCGTGCGTTTAGCTATTATATATACAGTTTGCTCGGTTGAGCTGCGCTCCATTTCTGTGTATTGGAGTATTTTGTCGCGCGTATTTTGTGCGCCCGCTTTATTTCGCCTGCGTGCGGAGTTTCTCGCCTCAGGGCATTTGTTTTCGTGCTGTGTTGTGTTTGCAAACAACTAAAGTATTTTGGACTTACTTTGTGCGTCCTGCGCCTGATTCCACCACCACACCCACCTACAGCTACACTGACAATATACCACAAACCCCAAGATGCCTTATTGCTATTATAAACTGATTACCAACATAATTAGAACAGTAAAAATATATATTTTTGTCATACCCGTGGTATACGGTCGGATATACCACAACTTTCAGCCAATCAGGATTCAGGGCTCACCCCACCCAGTTTATAAACATGAATAAATATAAAAATAAGAAAGAAGAAGGTCTGGTGAACCACAGCAAGTGCCGTTGACTGTGACTCTAGAGGTACATTATGTTCCGTCATACAGACACTGCCCCTGCTTGTGTGGTCCCCACTGCAATTTAGTTTATTTGGCATCGTAACAGAGAGCACACCCCATTCATCTGTTAATTGGATCATGTTGACTCTCTGTGAAAATGACGTGAAGATGCAATGGTCTTCTCCTTGTACAGCTTATCTCCTTGTCTGTCTCCCTGGTTCGTATGGGGCTGCCAAATATGGCCAGAGTTTGTCTGTCCTCAACTCCCACCACCGGTTGCTCTGCTAGGGCCAGTTACCCAAAATGTCCTGGCTCCCCCTCTCTCGCTCTTTCCCTCCCCCTCTCGCTCTCTCTCCCCACTCTCTCTCCCCTCTCTCTCCCTCCCCCCCTCTCTCTCTCTCTACTCCCCCCTCCTCACCTCTCCCTTTCTCAATCTCTTTCTCACTCACTCTCTCTTTCACTCTCTTGCTCCCATCAACCATCTCCAAATAGGGCCCTTTGTTCGTTGTCAAGGTGGTGATGCGGTCTCTCTCTCTTAGAATCGCGTCCAAAGGCCTGAGTCATTGCTTCTTATCTCCTCCAGAATACAATAGCAGCTGGTGATCATTGAAGTGTTTAGGGAGTCTTAGAATCACATTTTGTCAGTTTAAAGGTGAAGGCTGCGTTTAAGCACTATTGGGCCTGATTCTTAATTTAACATGGGATATAAAGAGAGAGAGAGAGAGAGAGAGAGAGAGAGAGAGAGAGAGAGAGAGAGAGAGAGAGAGAAGGAGAGAAGGAGAGAGAGATGCAGCAAGCTGTGAATAATTAACAATGTTGTTTCTAGCAGCATCAATGGATTTCAATTAATATCAATGTGTCTATGAATGAAACTTGGATATGACAAATGTATATTTACTCTGAGCCCAGAATGAGAGGTATTTAGTTGGTGATGTAAGACTGTGAAATGACTCCTAATCCCAATAACTTCTTCACATTCCAATGTGTCAAGCCAACTATAAACGTGGAGACCAGGGGGCACATTAGTGTGTAGTGGAGAACGTGAGTTGTGTGTGATGGATGTTCCCGTGAGTTGTGTGTGAGGTGAGGTGTGAGAGCAAGCTCGACGGTTCAGTGACTGACTTCTCATCATAACGTCAACAATGCCCAGAAGCTCTGTCAATCAACACTTCATACCTCATCGCTGGAGAACTCAAGCTTGCAACCAAATAAACACACCTCACATCTTCTGCTTCACTTCTGCCCTCGCTCAACGGAGCCTGGGACGCAGCGGAGTCAGGCAGAAGCTACAACAGATTGCATGTGTTTTTGTGGAGTGAAAATGATTTAGGGGGAAACACTGAAAGGTATAATTGGATAACACTGCAGGTATAATGCATGAGCGTATATGACCCCTTTATCACTTATTAAGCAACACTAGTAGGAATAATAAACCACTAAACCACTTGTAAGTGAGGAGCTAAAGCTGAAGGTTTGTGGGGTTACCGTTTGGGGAGAGGTAGGTGAAGCGTTGGTACTGGCTCCTCTTTCTCTTGCCATTGCAGACGTAGATGTTGACCTGCACTGGGCTGGATATTCTCTGGTTCCTGTAGGGAGGGATCTCCACCACCAGCGCAGTCTACAACACACAGACACAACACAGAATAGATACACGTACGAACCATCCAGATGCACTGCAGATCATCACACAGTATATTTGTATTGTATTTGTATTGTATTTATTATGGATCCCCATTAGCTGCTGCCAAGGCAAAATGAAGGCAGCTATACATTTTAAAAACATTACAATACATTCATAACAGATTTCACAACATATTAAGTTTGTGCCCTCAGGCCTCTACTCTACTACCACATATCTATAACACAAAATCCATGTGTACATGTGTGTATAGTGTGTATATTATCGTGTGTTTGTATGCATGTGTCTATGTTTGTGTAGCTTCACAGTCCCCGCTGTTCCATAAGATGTACTTCTATCTGTTTTTTAAAATCTAATTTTACTGCTGGCATGAGTTACTTACTGTGGAATAGAGTTCCATGTAGTCATGGCTCTATGTAGTACTGTGCGCCGCCCATAGTCTGTTCTGGACTTGGGGACTGTGAAGAGACCTCTGGTGGCATGTCTTGTGGGGTATGTATGGGTGTCCGAGCTGTGTGCCAATAGTTCAACATTCAATACCTCTCACAAATACAAGTAGTGATGAAGTCAATCTCTCCTCCACTTTGAGCCAGGAGAGACTGACATACATATTATTAATGTTAGCTCTCTGTGGACATCCAAGGGCCAGCCGTGCTGCCCTGTTCTGAACCAATTGCAATTTACTTAAGTCCCTCTTTGTGGCATCTGACCACACGACTGAACAGTGGTCAAGGTGCGACAAAACTAGGGCCTGTAGGACCTGCCTTGTTGATAGTGCTGTTAAGAATGCAGAGCAGCGCTTTATTTTTGTCACGAGCTGACGTGGATGTGGTGTTGGAGTCAGGCGCAGGACACAGAAGCTTAATCCAACAGACTTTACTAGTCAAAACACGACAATACAAAATAACGGGCCTCAACACAACGGAGGCGAGCGATTATGCATACTGTGCGTCAATACACAAAATACAAGTGATTACGCAAACAGTGCGTCAATACACTAAATACATGAGAGCGGACAACAACACACAACTACAAACAAAACCAAAGGAAACTTATAGGTGACATAATCAATACGTGATATGGAACAGGTGCACTAATCAGACAAAACCAAACAAACATAGAGAACATCAAACGGTAGCAGCTAGTACTCCGGAGACGACGAACGCTGAAGCCTGCCCGAACAAGGAGGAGGAGCAGTCTCGGCGGAATTCGTGACAATTATAGACATACTTCTCCCAATCCTAGCTACTATCAATATGTTTTGACCATGACAGTTTACAATCCAGGGTTACTCCAAGCAATTTAGTCTCCTCAACTTGCTCAATTTCCACATTATTCATTACAAGATTTAGTTGAGGTTTAGGGTTTAGTGAATGATTTGTCCCAAATACAATGCTTTTAGTTTTTTTAATATTTAGGACTAACTTATTCCTTGCCACCCATTCTGAAACTAACTTCAACTCTTTGTTAAGTGTTGCTGTCATTTCAGTCGCTGTGGTAGCTGACGTGTATAGCATTGAGTCATCCGCATACATAGACTGGCTTTACTCAAAGCCAGTGGCATGTCATTAGTAAAGATAGAAAAAAGTAAGGGGCCTAGACAGCTGCCCTGGGGAATTCCTAATTCTACCTGGATTTTGTTGGAGAGGCTTCCATTAAAGAACACACTCTGTGTTCTGTTAGACAGGTAACTCTTTATTCACAATATAGCAGGGGGTGTAAAGCCATAACACATACGTTTTTCAAGCAACAGACTAAGTGTGTGCGTAGCAGATTTGAAAAAAAACATGCATAATCTAAACATTATGAAATCAGACTAATATGGCATTAGCTTAGGCCTACAACCCCTTTAAATGCTCTTCTAAGACACAAACATAACTCCTACAGTATGTAAGTGTGAGCTCATTAATTAGCAGGTATGCTTGTTTTGCTTTCAGGGAACCGTGGAGGAGTGTTCTGAACAAGCTTTCTGAGCTGGGTATCCAGCCCAATCTGGATGGGCTCAGCAGGACCCCCAGAGTGTGTACCGCGCCCCTGTTTGTGTTTGTTTGAACCCTACCCCTGGACTACTACAGGGGAGAGATGTGGGCCTTTGGCTTTGTTTTCACAGCCCCTGATCACTGCGTCACTCCAGGCCCAGGGTTGAGACCTGGACGGACGTGAACTTTGGAGGCTGCAGAGCAAGGGTTGAGGTGCATGACAAAGGCACCATCGGGACATGACTGAGTGTCTGCCTACCTAGAGCCTGTCTGTCTTTCTCTCTCGCTCTCTGGGGGCCAGCTCAGGCCATTTGGGGGTGGTGGAGCAGAGCAGGAAGCCATTCCCTGTTGCTCAGCATATTTTGTGGGGTCTGTCTACGTGTCTGTGTGTCTGTTTATAGGCCAGGTCTGCCCTGGACTGACGGGGTCAAAGACAGCACAGATACAGGTGTCGCTGACCTCACCCCCTGTCCCTCCCACCCAGTGAGCAGTGCGATCCAAACAGGAATAATGAAAACATATGGCAGGCAGAGCATAGGTGACCTAACGGTGGCCGGTGGAAGCTGGAGAGAAAAGGCCAGCAACACTGTGGGTTGTTTGTCGGCACACCAAATAAGCACACTGTACTATTTGTCTTTCACCTACCTAACCTCTCCACCATATCCCCCACTGTAATTGTCCAACATGTGGGACAAGCCGTAACATCAGCCAGCCCTTAAGGCCAATTAACCATCGAAGGATCAGAGAGGAGGAAGCCATATTTAACACTCCTGATTCAATAAAGCCGTTCACCTGAACGTAAAAACACACGACAACAAAAACAACATCATCATTGAAATGCTGCCGTATTTAAACACATGTTCCATGGGAGGTGGTTTGTTATACACCACTGCAATTGTCAATTACAGCAGTTAGTTTACAGGGAGACAGAGGGATGATGAGACTGCTGATGAAAGAGAAGAGAAAGAGAGGGGGATGATTTGAAACACATTGTCATCATTGTCATCACACACCCTAATGTGCACTCGAAGACACACAGACACACACACACACACACAAAGCAAACACACACACCCGCACAGACCTTACGAGTCTCTCCTCACCATAAGTATTTCTTAATTAACTCCAGAAGCACAAGCAGCTTTTCTGTGACACGTACAACATTTACTGTCCCCTCTGATGAATCCCCTTTGCCTTGTTTTTATTAACAGAATGTACGACTAAATGTGTGACTGGGCATCAGTAGAAAGGTGCACTGGTTTATTTTCTCATTACTTCTCTCGTGAAAACAACTGGTAAAAAGGGAGGGGGGTAATCCACTCTTGGCCAGGCCTCAAGCGGAAGGCCGGGCTCAGACGAGGTGTTTAAGTACTCCTCCTCCCTGAACCAGAAGTTGAACAGTGAACTAAATGTCTGGCTACGCTGGCTGAGGTATTTGGTAGGGCAACTGGGCTTGCATCAGTATTCATTAGGCAACAAACTGAAGAAAATTACTGAAACTGGGAGGGACTAAATAAACTTGTCCAATGAGAAACATCTTTTTTTGTTTTCCATTACAAAATGGTTTGCTATGGTGTGCCCTAATGAATATGATCTAGTAGAGAGAAGGTGGTGGTGTGTGTGTGCACGCGTGCACGCGTGTGTGTTTGCGTGCACGTGTGAATGTGTGTGTTTATTGAGGGGTGCTTGTTGATGATGAAGCAAGATGCTCTAGGTGCAATCACTTTGTTTACTGTGTGTGCAGATGAGGACAGAGGGAACAATGTGTGAAAATTCCATTCAGGATTGCATGGACTAATCAACACAACTAATCTCTCTCCTTGGTAATGTCTTAGCAAAGGTTACATCAGCAAAGTGAGTAAGGGGAAGCGAGGGAGGTGAGGGAGGGAAAGAAAGAAAGGGGGAGAGAGGGGGGAGAAAAAGAGAGACAGACAGAGAGAGAGAGCGAGAGAGAGAGAGAGAGAGAGAGAGAGAGAGAGCGAGAGAGAGCGAGAGAGAGGGGGTTAATATAATGGAAGAGAAAGATGCATAGAATGTATGGCTGAGCAAATTTACACTTTCAATCTTAAAAAGAGGACTACAACTAATACAGTACTGTATTGTACGGAAAACACTGAGGACAACTTACAGACTTGAAGGAGTCCTTGTCAACTTTGGCTTCTGTCTCCCATAGGTGGTGTCCATCTATAAAAAAAGGACAACAGCAAATATGAAACACTACATAATCACACACAATATAATTGCAAAAATGAAACTTACGAACGGGAAGCATAGAAATAGCGCACATAGAACAGATCTACTGCTTTTTAGACTTGCTTTCAATGAGAATGACAGACCTATAACTCAAATTTTTATGTGAATTTAGTCGGGTCGACAAAAAAGTTACATATTGCAGCTTTAACTCTGCTTCATAAACGCCTTTGTTAGTTTGTTCTCTCATTTTTTTTCATCTTGAGAGAGTGTTGTGGTGTCGAGTCTTCCCTGTCATGCAATAAAAGCCTAGGGATCTGCAGCAGCTGCCAGGAGTCTGTAGTTGTAGCGGTTCGCTCACATTCCTTGGGTCTCTCTGTGATTTCATGCCACACCTTCGTGAACAGACACTCTATGCTCTGTTTATACAGTCAGGCCCAAACCACAGCACATTTTCTTAAGGCCTATGACTCATTAGTGCCTGTCAGAAATAGAATTGACACTATCCAGCCTTTGTTTCTTTGTGTGTATGTAGCACTGCCAGTGTCTGTGTGTGTATATGGCACTGCCATGCTGGCTGGCAAAACAGTTGTGTCTGTGGCACTACCATGCTGTGTTGGCTGGCAATACAGTTGTGTCAGTGTGTGTCTGTGGCACTGCCCTTATGTATTTGGCAATGGCTGGCTATATCATTCTGTTTGTGGTCCTAATTTAATGAGGACTGTGAGATATGTGTGAAGTAACAAACACTACATATGGTATGGCCATTGGGCAGCTGTACTAGTATAACTAAAGAGCCAAGTAATAAGATGTGGTCTCTACACCATATTGTTCTCCCAAAGTGTTGTTTTTCACAACGCAAAAAGAGAAGAATAGATCCCAGTCATGCTTGGCCTGCTATCACTCGTGTAGAAGGGTGGAGCTGGAGTTGGGAGAGAGCTCAGGAGGATGGAAGCCACCATGTATCTATTTCCAAAAGCAATATTAAAAGCGAGGAAAAGAGAAGAACAGACTTTGAAAAAGATCACAGACAGATGTCTTTATTTTGAGTTCAGGCAAAAGATCTGTGCACTGGCTGCAGAAGTGAGAGAAATGAAGAAAGAAGAGAAAGAAGAAGTGAGTAAACAGACAACTGTGAGATTTCAGTAGGGTGACGAGTATGCCTATATGACTGTGACAAAGTAATGCTATGTGCAGCTAATCATGATGTGCCATGGATCTGATATGCTCGTCAGGTTGTGAGATGGGAAAGAGAGAGAGAGAGAGAGAGAGAGAGAGAGAGATAGAGAGAGAGAGAGAGAGAGAGAGAGAGAGAGAGAGAGAGAGAGAGAGAGAGAGAGAGAGAGAGAGAGAGATATGATAGGGAATGCTCATTCCTCATATTACGTCTGGGGAACCAAGAGGGAATCTCGCCCACCCCCGCACTGGGACCCACTCCAAGAGGGGAAACCTTAGACGTCAACCCTCCACAAGTAAACATGTTTTTCAGGCTTCTCTCTCTCTATTTCTCTTTTTCTCTATTTCTCTCTCGCTCTCATTTTCTTTCCCCATCTCTCTTCTTCTCCCTCTCTTTCCTACTCTTTCTCGTCTCAATCCCTTTATCATTCTCTTTCGATTCACCTCACTTTCACCCTCTGTCTGTTTCTCATCTACAGAAGCAGAAATTAAACAGACACTCCTACTCTTTTAAAATTGTTCAGCAAGACTTAACAAAAAGAGCAAAAGCAGTCCAAAAGTAGTCATTTCCCGCTCTTCTCTCTCTTTCACCTTCACTGAATCGGGAGACAGCCACGTATGTGGCATGTAAACCGTTTCAAGTTAGAGAGTACCGTAGGACTGAACCACAAAACGTTACGTTCTCTCTTTCTCTCTCTCTGTGCAACATCTGCAAAACGCTTCTGTTCCGTCAACGGCACCGCCCCTCCCTACTTGGCAGAGTCCCCCACCCACACACAACCCCTCCCTCCATCTCCGTCTCTACCTCGGCCTCCTCCTAAACTCTCCCTCTATCAGACTGGTCACAACACAGAGTGGTAGTAGGAGGCATGGCAACTCCCTATACGGGTCAATGAGAATTGCACTCAACACATTTACACAAACACAATTACACACACGCACACGCACACGCACACACACACCTTTGTTTCAAGTAAAGTGCTTTGGGGAAAGCTCAGCCAGCTGCCTTTTACTGTGTCTAAACTGGTGGGAAGAGTCCGAAAGACTCGCATTGTACAGGAACACACAACAATGGACCTACTGATGAATGAAGCATCATCAGGACACAGTTGACGGAGAGGTTTAAACAGCCTAACCACACCTCAGTCAACTCCCAGGACTAAGTATTTCTAAGCAACAACACAGTCCCTATGTTTATTCTATGATTCATATAATACAGTTTATGCTCCCACATGACTCCAATAACAATAACCTCCCATTTGTTTTCCTTCTCTGCAGTAATTGCTCGGAGATTTGGTTAATGACAGGAGACACGATGTGGACCGCCACACAGCATGGTGGGACCACTCTGGTATTTATTGAAGAACCATTCTTATCTGGGCTCTCTCACACTTGTCCCTGCACTGACCTGTGGTTGGTTTACGCCCAAACACAGAGAGAGCAAGAGAGAGAAAGAGAGATAACGCTCCTCCTACTAAAACATAGGGAAGGGGCCGTACCAACAACAGAACAACAACTTCCACTGGCCAAAGAATGCTCACTTTGGTGGTTTTGGGAATGGAAAATATGATTCACCCAGACTTAATTGCAGAGGCACTCGTGAAACAAGCCAGTCTTATTTTTCGACTTTCGTCCTACCAAGAGATAATTTTGCGGGTGTCTTTTTTCTCAGTCTATCCCGCTTTCCTGTTTATATAATACAGTCAGTTATTTATCACATTTGTCAAAATCCTTCTGCCACCTGTCTGGCAAAAACTGTCAGTAGATTTGGAGCCAAAATAGCTGGCAAAACCGCAGGCCAAACAGGGTCCATCACACACCAGACCAGGGGTTGGCTTCTGCTCCTCTAGGACACCTGGTACCTGCCAGTCCTAATACTGGTGAAATCTGACAAATCTGTCAACAGGGGTGGTAGGGAAAGTTAAGGGATCCAGGAAGAATTGGTATCCAGGGTAGAGGTGCTGGGCTGGGAGTCTTTCCCTGCTGTGGAGCTATATCTGTGTTGCATGGTGCTCCAGACCTCCAGGCACAGCTCCAGTCACACCAGATGGAAAAGCTATTCTGCTCACAAGGGAATTCCCTCCCTCCCCTCTGAGTCAGAGTGTAGGCTTTCCCCAGCACTCCCTCCCTCCTCTCCTCCTTCCCCCACTCCCTCCATGCATGGAAATCAGGGCAAGCCAGAACACACACTCGATGAGGTGCACCAGGTATGCCTTTCTGCTCCCATACCAAAACGAGAGGGTTGAGCGAAGTCAAAACACACACACACATGCATGTGCATACGCACACACACACACACACACAAATACGCACCCTCCTCCCCCCTACACACACACCACCGTAATAAAAATAACAGTGATCATAGCTAATCCAACTGAGCAGTAACACAAAAGGAGATGGAATGTCTCCGAGATATGGAAAGGAAAAAGAATCACTCCGAAAGCCTATAAAACAGTACTTACTGGTACAGAGTGTGGTGACTCTCAAACACAGCAAAACAATGCTCCATTGACACATCAATTATGATCACTCTCAACCCACATCATACTTTACCCCTGAGTCAGAGGGGAAGAGGGCATGGGGCATGCAACTACTGATAAATTCAAAAGTTCTCTCAACAAAACTTGGGTGAAATATCACAGACAGTCCTCCTGTATGGCAGAACAGAACAGTGGACAGTTTGGACACAACCTTATAATATATTGACATAACTCATATCGGTCTCAGAGCTTGGAGTGAACAGATAATAGCCATCTCCAAAACCTTGTTGGAATTCACTCACTAAGCAGAGAGTCAACAGTGAGAATCGACAGGGAGAGTCAACAATGTGAAACACACCCAAGGAACGGATGCAGGACATCCACTAGTGGACAATATCCGCCTCTCCTTCCCCTGGCTTTCCTGAATAGCACTCTGTCTCACCCTGCCTGTGCCCCCTCCCCTCTTATTCTCCTCCTCCCTCCCTCCTCCCCCTCGGTTCTCGTCTGTTCCGCTTTGCCTCTCTTCAGGGAATCCTTTGCAGATGAGTCACTGAAAACACTTCCTACTGAACACACAAACAGGCCCGTAGGCTAGCTACCAGACACTAGCTACCCTAGCCCTCAGCGGCAGCACACACACAGACATGTACACACACACATGCACACACACACACATGCACACGCTGTTTGTATCAGTCATCCTGCGGGTCCTTGATGCAGATCAATGGGGATGACCTTAGCATTTGAAAAGTAGAAGTAATTATTTTTCTGAGCACATTAAACCGTCCCGCAGTGCCACCATCCATGAGCTCTGCTCCTTTGTTAACGAGAGGGAGTCTCAGGAGGATCGAGAAACAAGCAAAACAACACACGAGAGAGGAAGAGAGGGAGAGAGAGAGGAAGAGAGAGAGAGAGAGAACAGAAAGACAGTCCATTATGAGCCTTTTAAATGGATACTGGTCGACTACAAATCTTAACCACTGTTATTGTGACAAAAAACAAATCAATCACTTTTTGTTGCAAAACTGACAATTAATTATCTATTTGAAATCAAGGTTCTATACGTTTATAGCCAAATCAAACTATATCTCCGGTACAGATAATGTCGTTTTAGTTTGAACAATAGATGCGGTAAAGAGGTAAATGGCATGCAGGATGCTGTGATGCCGTCAATGGCGCACATTCAACAAATTTGATCTAACAAAGTGGATATTCGTCAAATCCGGAATGATTTACAGTATATGTTGTAACAGGCCCACAAAGTCAGATTTAGATATATTTGGCTGTTTTCTCTACATAACATTTTAAAATAGCCCCTTTTCAGGTTTAGAAGAAGTGACTGCTAACTCACGTTCGTATGAGCTGGTAGCATAGCTAGCGTATAGAAATCGGTGGTAGTAGTCATTTTCAACTGTAATGCAGTTGATTCGGGATCTTTCCCCAACGGCATCTTTCCCCGACGCGTTTCCATTGTTTTGGTCGAGTTCCATTGACCTCTTTACCCTATCTATTGAACCTCCTACAAATTAAGACTGTAGAGCACCAGGTCTACAACCAAAGAAAATGTCTTAATATCAAATATGGGCATTGAAGTATGAAGGATGTCCCCTCTCTGTGAAGCAATTGGAATACCATTCCATAGGTTGGCATAGAAAGCTCAAGTTAGTAAAGTTAAGTCCTGTCTGTTGCTCTTTTGTAGCTCTTTAAGAATAGATCTTTGGAATTTTCAGGGAGGTGTTTATTGGAGCACATCTTGGAAAGTGAGCACCTCTCCTAACCTTTCATCGCTGCAGCAGTAATGGATGTCACCGCTGGAACACAAGTAGTGATGGGTATTGTGCTATGCAAAGGTTTGTATTGTGTGTGTGTCAGTGTTGGTGTGTGTGTGTGCATGTGTGTGTGTAATTAGTGTAATGCTATGAATTGTATACAACTTATGGGGCTTTTACTCATTAACTTTTCCAATGCAATATAAAACCAGACTTACGGCATACAACTTTAATATGATTATATTTTATTGGATAGCTTTTTAATTGTTTCCCTTTTTGTCTTCCGATCTAAATCAACAATAAGAGACTTTCCAAACTCAAAAACGTTTCTCAAACCGCAAGATTATTTGATCAAAATGCCAAGATTTCATTCTATATAAAAATGTAAATAGAACATAAGAACATTTCTACAGCTGTATCAACTCCTATGAAGTGGCTATCATACAAAGGTGTGTGTGAGTGTGTGTGTGTGTGTGTGTGTGTGTGCGTGTAGTACTGTGATAATGAGCTTTGAGCTGGGAGACCCTTGGAAGTACTGGGTCCTTTACTGCTTACATAAGAGCACACAAAGCAGACAGACGCTGAGACAGGGTCAGGGAGAAGGAGGGGGCATGAAAAGGAATCCCTCACTTTGTGCACCTTCTCAGAAGTCTCGCTCCCTGGACGCCACTGAGAAGGAAAGCAAGCCACTGAAATGTCGATAGCAGGCAGCCGTGTGGGGATCCCTGGAGCACAGAACTCCACACCACCCTGGCTAATCGCTTTAACGGGCCGAGGAGGAGAGAGAAAGATAGAGAGGACAGGGCAGGGAGAGAGCGAGAGAGAACGAGAGAGTGAACGGATATGAAGAACAGAGAATGGGGAAGGACAAGGAGGGAGAAAAGGCATGGGGGATGAAAGGTGAAGGGGCTAAAAGAGGTGAGAAGGTGCTAAACTAGACAGGGCTTCCCTATCTTCCCTCTCTTAAGGGATCCCCCTTCATGTGGAGTTAGTCCGACATGGGGAGACTACCAGCACATTAACAAGTCAATCTCTCTTCCTCCCCTCACCCCGATGGGCTCTAAGGGGCTGAGGGGTGAGCCAGCCATCAGGATGAGAGAGACACAATGACACAGCTGTGGATTGGTAATTGGTTGATAAAGGGGTTTCGGAGGTGGGAGGGGTGAAGGAGGAGGGGGGTTTCCATGACAGGGAGACTCCGAAACCAATAGTACCAGGAGTGGGGAAATCCTCTCCAAAAAACAGGAGCAAATACATCGCTCAGAGCTGATAAAGAAGCCGCAGAGTCCTAGAGCCTGCCAGCTTCAGCCAACAGAAAACAGACACCCTCTCAGGAGATAATGACGGGTCGGGGCTGATGCTTCAAGTCTTGTACTAGTCTACTGAGTTGTCCTGGAGTTGGAATGTACCTATAGTCATCTTTCTGAATAGCCCCTCCTCTATAGCAACTCCAAATCATTCCTACGAGGGTAAATGAAGATATTATGAAAACTTCTAAAATATAACTTTCTCTTCTCACAGAACAAACATTTTGAAACATTCAACAACAAAAAAAAACACCACAGACAATGTATATCTATATAAACCAATAATGAAGAAAAGTAAGATTTTCCTCTTTCCTTGAAAAATGTCTACCACTATCCTCTACCTCCTCATGATCATCATCATCATCATCATCATCATCATCATCATCATCACCATCACCACGTGTGTTTACACAGCCCAGACTTGGCAAGTACAGTTGCCTTTGATTCACTGGACCCAATCAAGGAAATGACTGTTTGTAAACTTTATCATCTAGCTTATTCACATAGTCATCTCTCCTCTCCCTCCCACACAGAGAGGAAATGAATGGGAAAAATTAAATGTAAAAGTAATAACAAATAACACCGCAGGAGGGGGGAGACTGTGTGTGTGTGTGTGTGTATGTGACAGCATGAGTGATAAGGAGTGTGAAATAGAGAGAGAGAGAGAGAGAGAGAGAGAGAGAGAGAGAGAGAGAGAGAGAGAGAGAGAGAGAGAGAGAGAGAGAGAGAGAGAGAGAGAGAGAGAGAGAGAGAGATCAGCTATAGCCTCTTATCCCCCGCTCTTTCTCTCGGCAGAGATCTAGGAGCGAAATTGTGGGACAGAGGTACAGATGCCGTATCTTAATTTGATCATCCTGTTGTTGCAGGAAATGGAAACTTCGAGTAAATTCAAGGTTTAAAAAGGCTTCTAAAGTTTGTCATTTACACTTTGACATTTCAAACATGATTTTCCCTTACAAAAAATGTATCAACCCCTACAAAAATGTCCATGAACTATAATCCACATTATAATTCACATTTCCTGTTGCTGAAGGATTATTTTCCTGTTGTAGCAAACTGGCTCAAATTAAGATCCTACATCTGTAAGAAGGGAACTTGAAAGAGTGAGAGAGAGAAGCAAAGAAAGAAAGAGACGTTGCACAAGCCCCGCTTGTGATTCATTCCTTAACTTGTGGCGAGCGTCACTAACCAGGCAATGGAAACTTCTGCAAATGTAAATACGGTTTGGTTAAAAATATAGCTCCTTAATGCACACCACATGTGGCTCCCTGGCAGACCCTGCTCTATTTTGACGGGAGGAGACAGAGGGAACGCAATGAAGAGAGAGAGAGAGGCAGACAGAGGGATAATTTAAAAGTGAGATATTAAGGAAGAGCACGCAAGAGAGAGAGAAAGATATATAGAGAACGATAGAGAGAGATAGTGACAGAGTGTGTAGTTGCTCTGACGCGTCCTAGCTTACCTTGGGCCTTCTCCACGAACACCACCTTGGAGTCTGGCAGAAAGTTGTGTCCGCTCAGGAGGATCTTCTTTCCCCCCGTGGCGGGGTAGCTGTCCAGGCTCTGCTTCTCTATCAGGGGCAGCTCCTGGGCCGAGCGCTGGGCTGGAGGAGGGACAGAGAGACAGACAGACAGACAGACATGAGGAGAGAGTGTTAATTCACATCCAACTTGGCACAATAGCTGGACAAAAAAAGAAAAACAGTGAGCGGATATACACTTTATACTGAATACCTGTACACAACAGCACTCTATACTGCTAAAGCTTTCCTTACCCACTCCCCATCCGCCCCCGGACCTCCAGATCCCCTACCTCCCCAACTCTGCCATGTCACAGCAGGAGTTGGTTAGCAACAGTCTTATCAGTTTTCTAATGGCTTTTTAACACCACTGGCTATTTTCCGATTTTCAGACAACAGATGTTTTTTTATATGTCAAATATATAAAAATGGATCAAAACAATATTTATCTGGTGACCCAATCAGCTTTTTTACTTTCTAGATTCATTATTTTTCATATTCATTCAGGGAGGAACGAGCCTAATAATGAGTCATACTTTAGTCATACTTTATCCACCACCTGTCTCTGCTTTTATCAATGTACCTCGGGGCTCTTGGTTATCAAGACCATGTTTACAGCCAGACACACAATGCTCAGTCATTACATCACTATGCAATTTACTTGATTCATTCATCTGTAATAATGATCCATTCGACCATTGTTAAAAAATGTAGTAATCAATCAAAAATGTGTGCCATAATCAACCTTGGAATACAAACTCCACCCCACATAGTCAGTGTCCTCAGCATGGACATGACCACACACACACACATACACACACACACACACACACACACTCAACTGATTGACATAGTTAGCGGTTTCCATACACTCTTCCAACCCCGCCAGATCTAGGGCTGGCAAATGACCCTTCATAAACCTGTGATAATAGGGTCGCCTCACCACAATAAGTTAGGCATAAAGTCATAAAATGCACTGAGGGATAAATAACATATGTGCCTGACTTCACAGTTATCAATTAAAGTACAATGCATTCAATGACTTGGCAAATTGCTTTCATCATATAAAAGGTGCAAAATATTTGAATTGGGTCCAAAAGGCCACCTCATACTGATTTCCATGCTAAGAGAGTGTTATTGGGTTTGTGTGTGTGCACCTGTGGAGATGTGTGTGCATAAGGAACAGTCATTGTGTGTGTGTGTGTGTGTGTGTGTGTGTGTGTGTGTGGTGTATGCATGCGACGTGAGTCATGTGCGTGTATACTCACAGCACTCGATGGGGTTGGAGGAGGCCTGTAGGGAAATGGTCCTGCCATTGGGCTGGTTGATGTGCACACGGAACACCATCCTCACACGTGTGTTCTTGCGCCCGATGTCCGTCTCGCCCTTACGCAGCTCAATGTCAGAGTTCCGCAGCTTCAGAATCCCTGCACAGTCAATGCTGTCACACAGGGGAGAGGATACATTTTAGCATCAGCATACTGGTACTAACCAATATACTGTCTGTATGAGCACTATGCTACAGCTTGTCTCAAGAAGAAGATCCTGAGTATATTATAGACCTTGATCATGAGACTATATCGAGACATACATTACAGATGGAATATACTGTATCATATAACAGAAACATAAAAAGTACAGTATGTTATTATTAGGACATCATCATTAGACCATAGAGACATGTATAATGCAGATGTACATTATGTTCACTGTCATGAACAAGTCCTGGAGCTCTATTTGATCAAAGAGACTAGAGCCGGATCCACAAAGCCTCTCCCAAGGTAGGAGTGCTGATCTAGGATCTGGCCATATAATATTATTAATTATGATCTAAAAGGCTAAATTGATCCTAGATCAGCACTCCTACTCTGAGACGTCTCGTCTAAAGTTCCGGATCACAGATATCGGAAATCCCGCAGAACACTACTGAGTCACTCCCAATCTGTAGGTTCTTCAAAGAAGAACATTCATTCGTTTATGTGACTTTTAATGTTCCTGGTGCCCCAGAATACAGCTCTCTGGAGCGATCTTCAGGGTCGTGTTCATTAGGGCATGTAACAGAAACCGCTTTAAAACTATTTGCAACAGCTTCACTCAGTTTATCGTCTATTTGTTGCCTAATGAACACGACCAAGGTCTTTTTTCTCCCCACCTTCTCTTTCCAGAAGAGAAGCTCATTGGCTGCCGCCTGCATTCTCACAGCCACTTTATAACCCTCTGCCTTTCCTAAAAAAGAAACATGCTCCCTCTGCACTGTTCGAGTCTCACACTTTTAACATTTAAACATTTACGGTTTCAACCTTACTAACCAATGCCACATTTAGATGCAGACTTATTATTTTTCTTTGCTGTCTTTATTTATTTTAATTATTTTTTTTTTGCGGGATGATTTTCCTTCTTAGGGGAAAAAGGCATCACTTTTCAGACTGGCCATTCAAGAAATTAAACTAAAACCAAAAAGTTGCTGGTAAAAAGTCAGGAAATACATATGGGATATGGCTTGGCATTTCAATTATTTTACATTGGAGCTTTTTGGGTGGAATTCCTGGAACATGTTAAATGTCAAGTTTTATACAAATCTATTTTTCCCCTTCACTTTGGTCTGTCCGAATTATATATATATTTTTTTGAACACTTACAAGAAGTTTCTTTAGTGGCTCATGCATGATGTAAGTGTTCAGTCATGCAGTTATGGTTTTAAAACAGACACATTAGGGGTAGTGTGCCATGCTCTATTTTACCGTCAAATGACTGTTGGAATGAACATTAGTGTCTCTCTTCATGAACTATGGTGTGGAGCAGCCAGTCACGGCTTGTAGCAGTTGAAGTCAGCTCAAAGTAAAGATATGTAGTGACAGCATGGCGACTGTTGGTGACAATAACACTGCAAGATGTATCCTACACTTGTGGTGGAACAGTGTCAACAAAGCAATAAGTTACTGACTACAATTGTGGAAAGGTGGCAGGAAAGGTTACCGACCAAAAAACTTGATTTGCAGGTTGATGGTTTATTTTACATTTGTTTGTCAAATCAAAATGAACTGACAAATTTGACTAGTTGAGTGGAAATTGTTTTTTTTTTCCAACAACAACTCTACTTTTTCAGTGAATGTTATGTGATTTGAAATCATAGTATAGAAGTAGCCCAGAATTTTCTAGATTCTCAGACACTGCAAACTGTGTAATGAAGTAGTAGCTACTGGTGACTATCCATTTCAATGGGTGGATACTAGACAACAGATAAAACTTTATCAGTCACAAGGGGGACGAAAGAGATAGATTGATATGTGTCTGGAGTCTGACATCAGTTGTCTACAGTACCGTCTATGTAACGTCCCACACAGTGAGTGAGCGAGAGAGAGCTGGCGGGAGAGCAACAGGCTATCCGGAGTGTTATCAGGCTGACTGTTAACAGCTCAATGGAAAGACGCCGTCAGTGACCGACCCTCCTCAGACAGACCCTGGGCTGTGTTCATTAGACACCAAACAGAGGAAAACAGACTGAAACATAGAAGGACTACCTGGACTTTTAAAACGTTTTCAGTAGTGTGCCCTAATGAACACTACCCTCGCCTACACTGTTCTACCCCAACCCTGAGGCTCAGTTCTCCTATATACTTTCACCGCTCTTTCCCACTAGCTTATACGGTGACGACAAAAGGGAAAACTGACGTCCTCTGAATAGTTTTCTCAAATATCAGATGTATCCATGGTGCCCTGTAAAGTGTAATGGCTGAAGTTCCACAACGTATCCCCAGTCTAGATTTGATACGTTATAAAGGGGCAGTATAGCATTGTTGGAAATGGAAAGGTGTATGCATGTTAGGTTCAATCCTGTTAAACCAACAAAGTTCATTTTCCAGTCAAAGAGATCTGATATATCATGGTGCTTGCCAAGTATCTTCATAACCTATCCACAATACAACAAATATTAAAATACGCTTTAACTTAATATAAACCCATTCAATCTACATCAGTTCTTCTAAAAAGTATATTATACCATTGAAACACAGAGGAGAATAAAGCTACAGTTCAGTAGATGGTGATGGAGGTTATACAACCGGGGTTGGGTTGAGATTTAGCTGCCTTCTCCATCAGAGAAAGTCCTGGGCCTCAGGACAGTAGACCCATTGTGGCCTGAACGGAGCCCCAGGACAGGAGCTCCTACCTGGGCCCCCTGCGGAGCACAACCTCCTGACCTCCTGGACATAAGGATATAGTGATTTCTGGAATTTAGTATTTTTATGCACACGGCAGATTGGGTGCAATGGGGAGTAAACCAACATAAATAGGGCCTATTGGATTTCATGGGTATTATTCCTTTTAGACTCTACATGATGTACTGCACTGTATTACGCATGCTTTGGTTCTCTTTCTTCCTGAATTCCAACACACACTGTTGGTGATCATTTCACATACTGCAATGGTTCCATTTTTAACACTAGAAGAGCAGAGGCAGTCCTTTTGACTGCATATGAATTAAAAATAGAAAAATCTCTGCCATTGTTAGTCATGCCCCCCTCCTAAATAAGTCTGTTTAACACACGCATGCTGTTAGAATTTTGATATCACAAACAGAATTTGTGTTATAAGCAGTTTTAAGAGGACATGACTTATTTTTTTGCAGGGAAAACGTTTTGATTTCAATATAATATCAGAAAGAGTCGATTCTGAGGTTTCCAAAACACTTACCTTTGTCAAATAACTCTCAAAATTGAAGAGATACGCTCAAAATATAACTTTTTCCAAGAATAACCGCTGTTTCATGCGTTCCACATGTGAGCATGCAGCAGCAGATAGCCTACTGCAGGGTTCCCCAACAGGCAGCCCGCGGGTGATTTTATCTGCCCCCACCCAAGTTTTCGTAGCAAAAAAAAAACAAAGTTGAAAAAAAATCACGAATAATTGTTGAACATAAAAGACTGTACAAACACCAGCGAATCAGCTCCAAGTGATTTTAATTTTGGAAATCTGTTCCTAAGTATTCCCACACACAATAGAGAGACGTGATTGTATACAAATTTAAGCAAGGTTTGAAATTATTATGTTTTTGTCAAATATTATATCTGTTTGGGCTTCTTGCGGTCAATTTGCAGTCTACAAATTATTTGTAATTATGTTCCTGACCCTGACCATCCGCTCAAGAAAAAATCTGCCCTCGGCTAAATCTAGTTGATGATCCCTGGCCTACAGTAACATAAACGAATGAAAATGCTATTGTGCTTTAATGTTACCTAAGACCTTCATAAACACAACCAAATTATAATTTTTCCGATAGCATATATGAAATGTATTTATTTCACTGTTAGAACGTTGCAGTAAAAATGCTTGCTCGTTGCCTCAAAGTGGGGTCCCTCGAGGTCCTAGCTTTTCTAGTGTCAAGAGCGAGAGAGAGGAGAGTGAAAGGACAGCCCCATGGCAACTGCACCATCGAGAGCATCCTGACTGGTTGCATCACCGCCTGGTATGGCAACTGCTTGGCCTCTGACCGCAAGGCACTACAGAGGGTAGTGCGTACGGCCCAGTACATCACTGGGGCAAAGCTTCCTGCCATCTAGGACCTCTATACCAGGCGGTGTCAGAGGAAGGCCCTCAAAATTGTCAAAGACTCCAGCCACCCTAGTCATAGACTGTTCTCTCTGCTACCGCACGGCAAGCGGTACCGGAGTGCCAAGTCTAGGTCCAAAAGACTTCTCAACAGCTTCTACCCCCAAGCCATAAGACTCCTGAACAGCTAATCATGGCTACCCGGACTATTTGCACTGCCCCCCCCACCCCATCCTTTTTACGCTGCTGCTACTCTGTTAAGTATTTATGCATAGTCACTTTAACTCTACCCACATGTACATATTACCTCAACTACCTCAACTAGCCGGTGCCCCCGCACATTGACTCTGCAACGGTACCCCCCTGTATATATAGCAAAGGACAAGCACTCACATGGCTCTCATGTTGTTCTCAGGCAGCAGAGGGATCTCCAGCACCTTGGTGTTGGACTGCAGGGCCTCATGGCTGGCGGTAGAGACAGTCTTGCCCGTGATGCGGTGGACCTGGTAGAAGGCGTGCGGTCGCAGGAGGCGGTCGTCTGCGGTCCCGATGAACAGCTGCAGGGTAAGGGGCTCGCTCTCCATGTAACCGTAGAGCTGGCAGGAGAACAAAGAGATCCAGGTGAGACCCAACGTCAGGTTTTAAAGTACCTCATAAACAACCCGTCATTTGGGGAAATAGAGATTGAACACCACATCAGCTACTGATAGTTAAGAAGCCCTTTAATGATAGCTTTTAGTGAAGGTATTTTGGGGGAGGTTTCAGAAAATAGACCCTTTGGTCAGATTTGTTTTTCAGTCAGGTTGGAGACCCATTTCCAGATTCTCGGAGTCTTCTGTTTTTCGAATTTGGGAGTAGTTTGTTAATGTACATCCCTTTAGGGGAGGGTTAAAGAGGGTTTTGATCTTTTGGAGGTACTCTGTCTGGGGTAAAGATCTTCTGGGCAGCCAGACACAAGCGCTGATGGAGAGGTTGGCTTCCCATCACTTCACTGTTCATTAAAACCTCACAGCTGCCATAAAAAAGTGCCCAAGGAGAGGCTAGCAGCCGACAGTGACTCAATGGAAAGTGACCATTTTGGAGACCAAATACAAAACCAAGACGATAATTTAAAAGTCTGCCTCTGAGCATGATGCACAATATTTATGAGGATTTGATCCCCTCAGCAATGGACTGAAGTTAGTAAACATTAATTTCCATGTCAGAAAAGGAGTTGAATTCATAAGGGGTAATCAAAAACAGTATTTTGGCAATCTATGTTGAATATTTCTGCTGGTGCACGTATTAAGTATTTTAAATGCAATCCTTTATAGAATTGCTTTTTAATGTGATCAGCAATATCTCAAGAACAATACAACCTAGATGATTAGTAGCTCCACACGTGTTCAATAACTGTCTAGTACACACAATATCAAAATACCAATGTTTATGAGAAAATATAAATTCTGGTCAAAAGTGACGCACACTCAATTGAAACAAAATGTCATGACTCTTTATCGTTTTGTTCATATTTCTTTCATGGTCTGTTTTTCTACATTGTTGATTAAATTCTGCTGCGTTTGGTCCCAAAAAAATTATAGTGGCCTTGTGGTTAGAGTGTGCCCTGAGATTGGAATGTGGGAGTTCGATCCCTGGCCGAGTCATACCAAAGACTGTAAAAATGGGACCCAATGCGTCTCTGCTTGGGACTCAGGAAATAGATTGGGGATAAGGCCCTGCGATAGACTAGCGTCCTGTCCAGGGGGTGTACTTGTATATTAAGCTGCCTCACACTACAAAAACAGGAGATAGGCTCCTGCTCCTATAAGCCAAGCCTACTTACTTTTGCTCGCAAAATACAGAAGAACATCTCTATCCACATTTCCTTGGATAGCTTGACTTGCACACAAAGACAACACCAGATCACAGTAAAGCAAGGCTAGCTTAATCTCCACAAGTCGCTTACTCCCTTTAAAAACATTCACATACTTGTGCCTAGCATGCTGACAGCATACAACCCCTTGGCCTCTGGGCATTTATGAATATGCATTCTAATTTTCATGAAGGCCTATGAAGCTCTGGAGCGGTGCCATAGACGGTGTCACACAGAGATGGCTCCTGTATCGGATCCACTTCAAACAGTTTTACACTTCCCCTCTTCCTCTCACGGACCACCATTAGCTGCTACTGCCTCTCCAATAAAAGCAAGTACACCAAAAAACAGGATGGTTACTACATCTTCTAGAAAGTACATTAGACTCAGTAGACTATCGTTGCTCAGTGTGATCTCCAATAGCACCAATAGCCAAACAAGAGATGGGTGAGAAGGCGATTACTGTCAGTTCGTTGAACATTTAGTCAACCTTGAAACAACTAGAATAATCTAAAACAACCATAGACCAACCAGGACTCTACAACCCTGTTCCTGGAGAGCTACCATCCTGTAGGTTTTCGCTCCAACCCTAATCTAGTTCACCTGGTTCTAATAATTAGCTGGTTGATAAGCTAAATCAAGTTAGTTACAACTGGAGTTGGAGCGAAAACCTAGCGGAGGATATCTCTCCAGGAACAGGGTTGGAGAGCCCTGATCTAGAACAACTACAACCATCTACAACAACACTGTCTGCAGAAAGAAGCATGGGGGATGGTTGAAACCCATTTGGAGAGGGGGAAAATACTTAAACCTCAGGAGAAAATTGGCAGAGGTGCAGATTCCTCAATGTGGTGAACGTTACCAGATATTTTGGGTAAGAATCCTGACCCAGGGCCATTTGCTAACCCAATGGACCACTTCTGGTGGAACCAAATTGTTAGACCTCCCAGCTCCCAGGCAACGTTTTCTTAAGTGTGTGTGTGTGTGTGAGTGCGTGTGTGCATTTAATGTGGACTTAGAAACCCTCCGAAAATTGGGGATCCGTTCTGAACAGTCAACATGCAACAGGCAAACCTCGCACTGGGTAATGATGGACAGACCTCCATGGCTTCACACAGCTAGGTCCTTGACCACATCAGAGACCGTCACAATAAATCAATTACACTAGACAGATCTAACCAAACAGTGTCCATCTGAAAAAATCCCACAAATTGCTCAATTATCTCCCCAATATAAGTGTATCATTTCAAAATCCCCTTCTTGAAGTTTAGTCTTATGGAAGTTCAGCGCTGCTGTGTCCGAGTGAAAACAGCGAGTCAAAAGGAATAAGCGACCCTGTGTTTATTTAACGGATTGAGTCATAGAACAAAACACAGACCACATGTAACCTATGACATAATCTGATTAATGGATTTATAATTACCTTTACAAGGGGGTCAGGGTTTGGGGAGTAAGTGAAGGTAGAGAAATACGTCATTGGACTCTTGTGTCTACAGTAATTAGTCTGCCTTGTTGGCCATGATGACATTCGGTAACAACCAAATTATTAGGACCCCACTCTGCCAAACACAAAGGGGAACGACCAACCGAAGACACAATCAGTACCCATCTATGAAGGCAGTGAAGAAAGACTGAGCTCATTTTGCTCTGGCGAGACAAACTGATGAAAAACTTGCCAAGTGACTGAGAAAACAAGTGAGGTGAGGTGATCTACAAACTGAAGGCATATTTGGCTGGTGCGACATATTGAGTTATGCTCATGCCTGCCCATGCAGTAGTTCTCTGTTGGTTATCCTCAACACAGTACAGCACAGTACTATACGTATGCTATCCAAGGGTCTCAATAATCGACAAACCAGCAGCAATCATTACAAAACAATCTGGTTTTCTACTTCTCGACTTGATATCATCACTTGTTTGATTCAGATATCAAGGGAACTAGGGGCACTAGTTAAGCAGGCTATAGTCTCCTTTTCTCCTTCTTCACTCCATTTTTCATCTTCTCAGCTCCACATAGTGTCTCCAGCAGCTGTCCTGACTTGTGCGCTAGTCACACATGCTAGTCATCAGTGAGTTACGCTGGGGTCAGGAGCTTCTTGAAGTCTCTGTGTCTCCAGAGAGCACTTCATCCATGCAGTGATCTCACCAGCAGACCCCTCTCTCTGCTCGCCTTGTTATATTTTACTTACGGTGTCACCGGTGGTAATTACGCTTAGCCGCCACATGCTACCAGTTACTTACACATAGACAAGTCGACCGAGAAGGAAGGAAAAAGTGGTACCATCATGCTGCAACGGAACCGATGGAACCCGGCCTGAGGTACCAATCTGAAAACGCAAAACGGTCTGTTAAAAATGTCATGACGTTTCTTTATGATTTAATAAAAGGCAGGCTGCCACTCTGCGAAGCCTGTGTCCTCTGTCCCTTTCGTACTTTGCTCCTCGGTAGATTTTGTTATTTCATTTCTTGGTGACCTCCAACCATTACCTTAGCCTCAGCCTTTGCGTGTCTGCGTATGGATAAACCACAAGAGGTGAAGTGTGTGTGTGTTGGGGGTAGTCTTTATCCCGTCACTTTATCACGTCACTCGGCAATGCTGCGGTAGCGTACGATGCCGGTGGCGTCCTCCGGTGGGGTCGAGAGCCAGGGTGACCTCATAGAGCAGAGGGTGACCTCATAGAGCAGAGGGAAGTGATTAATGAGGTCAAGCAACCCTCAGTGATGCTGGTCGTCCCGACAGCAAAGGAACGCGGTAAGGTTCCCCCCTGGGTGACCTCCCTTAATTAATTTACCATATGTGCTCCCTCAACCCTCCTCTCCACTATCCCCTCTCGACCTCTTTCCCTCTCTGCTCCTGTGACGTTCCCTAGTCCACACACAGCAAACACAAGCTGAGCACAAAATATACTTGATTTTAAATCCTCACAAGGGCAATAAGAAAATACAAAGTTGAGGAACCATCGTAAAGTTTAAGCGTGGTTCAACGAGAGAGGCTTCACACACCCGTGAATCCTACTTCATATTTGTGTCTCTAGCAGTCTTTGAGTCTTGACACAGTCTAATTTTGACCAGATGAGTTTAGCTAAGCTATGAATGTAGTCAAGCTGGGCTCCGTATATTTATCTTTGAAATACTGTAAATCAAAGCGTAATTTGCTGCAGTCACACTACACCAGCTTCTGCCACTGCATGTGCCATATTCATTTACACCTCTACCCACCAGCTACTGGCAAGTTAGACAACCTCTCCTCTTCCAACACGTGCCATGCAGGATAGACCGAATCTCAAATAAAACAGTTTGTACATGTCAGCTGAATCATTAATTGTGTAATTGTACGCAGCTGGATTGTCTAGGTCAGACTGGATTTTGATGATGTGTAACTGCGAGGGTGTTGAGCTCAGAACCAGAGATCACCCCGTCCTTTTCCACCATTCATTTCACATGAACCATTACAGATCCATCATCACGGCTGCTAAACTTCAGCCCTGAGACAGTGGTGCTCTGAAGAGGTTTTTTCTTTCTGGCTTTCAATCCACGTTTGCTTTCTTCTCTTAATGAGTATCATATGTCCTTGTCAGTGATAGCTTAATTAAGTTTTTTTATCCTTTTTCGTAGCTGTTGCTTTATTACCTTGGTTTACTTCCTGTTTATATAAAAACTCAACTTCACACTTATGCTCAAGATCTAGAGCCATTGCCAGACCTGGTTAAAATATGGTCGAGAAAAGAGTTGCACATGTTTGTT